CGTCACGCTTTGCATTTATACCTGGCCCCAATTGAGGCTGCTTGCCAACAAAATCACAACTTGATAATGCTACATGACTAATGGCATTATTTGATAAGTATAATGACAAATGCTATTGAGCACTGAACAGTTCTTAAGTTCCTTTTGCTAAACTACCTAAACACAAGTGAGAATGTTGTGGTCGAGTGAGCTCGACTACGATATACCCTAAACTCAGCTGTTAAATAAACTGTTCGAGTTTTACTGCCAAAACTTCCGTTTTAAAGTTTTGTTTACTCAAATGTAAAGCAGATGTGGAATGCGCTCATTTATTATATCATTAATAACAAGTAAGGCAGCGCAATTTAAATATGAGTATAAGTTTTGAACTAAAACTTGTGTGTTTCTTGTCCGACCCTAATGAAATGCTTACAGTTGTTCAGTTACTATAATTATAAGACTCTATCGGAAATCGATATGTTCATGAAACGGAGTCAGATATCGATAAAGTGAATTAAGCTCAATCAAATGAGAACTTATATCAAAAATTTGAAGTCTTTTGCTCTTGTAGCCTCTGAGTTGACTGAGCTGTGGATCCTGATCAAGAATATGGAATGGTTTTTTCACAAAAGCATGATACCCTTTTCACAAATTTTTAATTGGTTCAGCGTATAAGAACTCGACCCTCATCGGTATTCGTAGTCAGCCCAAAACGAATCATTAACTGTGCGGAATTTTTGACTCACAGAGAACCCTGAACCCGTCTGCAAATCGAACCGAAGCGAATTATGCCGTGAAAGGTTAACATTGCCAGCTCCCGAGAATACTCATTGGCCGTCACCCTTTGATATGACATCAGCAGATCAGCTAGTCCACTCATCAGCTGGTCGAGAACGAAGAGCGGCCAAGACCAGTAGCTGGTAGCCAGGTCGACCTGGGAGCTTTACGAAGCGACTCACCTTCGCATTTGGTATGGGCGGAGGAGGAGGAGGAGGAGGAGGAGGAGCAGAGCACGGCGTTAGTTTACCGGAACTGGACAGTCAGCATCAACACATCGGCGTTCTTTGTGTGTTTCTGATTTGCTTTGTTTAGTGTTTAGTTTGAATAAAACTAAAAAAAAGAGAACAAAAAATAAAAACAACCAAAACTAATAGAAAAACAAACAGAAATTTATGGGATTAATGGGCGAATGGTCGAGCACGGGGCACTTAAATATGCATATGTTTAAATATTGTTACAGTTTGCTCGGGCGAAATTGGTTTTCCTGTTTTATTTTATTTGTATTATTTTTTTTCTTGTTTTGGGTGACGTGTAAGCAGAAATCTGGTTAACCTTAACAACAATCTAAAGACAATACGGCTCATTCATATTTACATTTTGTATATTTACAATCAAAGCTAATGTCTAAATTTCATCTAGCCAGTTTATTGTCGTGTGAATATTTGTTTTAAACCAATTTCGATTATGTGCGCAGTGTAAAATCATAGCATCCATAGCCAAATGCATTCAATCACATTGAATAAATGCAGGTAAAAGAAATAAATATTAAATTCAGATATCATCAACAAAACGCATACGGAAATCGAAATATTTGGAACGCTTCTGCTGATTAAACTTTAATATCTGTTTGAATTAGGATTTGTGATCATAATTTTACGACGTTCATTAAGATAATGCGTGCAAAAGCATCTGAACAGACTTTAATTCTTATATGATATGCCCATATAAGCTAAGATAACCAAGAAATAAAAAAAGCTTGTAAAATTAAACTTTGCTTAATGAATTTCTTATGCGATAAGATACAAAGCAATATAAAATAAAGTAAAATACGACAGTCCTCAAAAAATGTTCTAGTTTCAAATGGCAAAGCCAAGAACTGCATTATTTCCAACAAATTATAAATTCAGTTTGCCGTTGCCCATAAATAGCTACGAAGCAAATAGCATAGAACACCAAATGCTCAGGTTCACGGTCAAAAAAATCAAATAAGCAGAAAGCAAACAAACAGACTCGTGCATCATGTGTATCTTTGAGATACATTTTGCATACTGCATAGTCAGCAGGCAGGTGCTAACGCGCAGATAAACAACAACACAATCAATTTGAACTGACACACAATGGACAAATCGAAATTCAAACAGCCGCCTCAACCTTAAAGTGGCCCAAATCTGCCCTTAGATGTCCTAATTTTATTTTCGCTTTTTTTGGATTTTCAACAATAATATTTATTTCCAACTGCAACCAATTCCCATATATTTTTATCAACTTCATCCAATGAGTTTTTGGTCACAAGATGGTTAATACCTGGAGAGCAACTGATGGATTGCACAAGCGTCTTTTTATTTCCTAGATACAGTTGAGCAGCTTGTAAGTATTAGCCTAGATTTTCAGTGGCGGCTGCCGTGACTTGATTCAATTTCAGGCCGCTTTATCATGCTAAATGTATCTACACCCACGAAATGGCCAGCAGCAACATTTGTGCAGACCAGATCTTTCATCCCGAATGGCTGGCTGGTTCAGTTAGCTGTTTTGCCTTTTACCAGGAACATGATGATGCCGCAAAATAAGTAGCACAAACGGTTTTTGCATCGCAGTACTATGTACTTTCTAGTGTGTGCTCTATGAAAAATGCGAGTAGATTTCGGGATAAATAAAAATGCTTACAAAAATATTTAGACTTTCGAAAGTGCTGTTATCTATTATTATATGAAAAAAGGAATGTTAAGCCCTGGTTTAAGATGCAATTGAAATAAAGTTAAAGCATTTACTAGCAGACACTCGTAAAAACTGGTAAACAAATCATTAACCTAAACCTCATATAGACAACTCAGGCACAGGTGTGTGTGTTATTTTCTGCGGTTACGTATTGCCTCATCAGAATTCGTGTATCCAACACCTCTATTAATGTACAGTCAGTTCAGGTGTGCGTGCGTGTGTGTGTGTGTGTGTGTCTGTGATTGTGTTAACCGCAATTCAATCAAATTCGCCAAACTGTCTTATTAAATTTGATATTTGATGCTGATTTCCTGTCCCGCATCGTATAACCAATTGTCAATGCTCACTGCTCCAGTTTGAATTGAGCTTATAGAAATAAACTAACGGTTGTTACTCGATAAGAAATCACTTTTAACGCCTGTCTTACACGCATACACTTGGAGAAATTTCGAGAAAAACCAAATCCAAATATTAATAATTTAAATACACGATTTAAACTTAAATTTAGCTGAAATAATCTCAACAATTGACGTTGACACTTACCTGTTTGCGGACAATTGAATTGACAATAACTGTTGCACTCAAAGTGTTCTCAATGAAGTAAACGCGAATGTGACACAACTTTGGCGCCCTCTGCGCATGCGCACACACACAGACACACACACAGCCTACGCTGACAGACACAAAACACACACAGGAAAGTCGGCTAGCTGCAGTCAATAAACATTAGCGATAAAAAGCTTGAGCCGCACGCGCGTTTACTGTCGCGATAGATTTCCAACTGAGACTTTGAGATCTGAGACGCTCGAAACTTTGAGCTGTTGCCTGCTGTTAACGACTGCGACTGCGACTGCAGCAGCAGCAACAGCAGCATCAGCAGCAACAGCAGCAACAGCAGCCTCAGCAGCAGCAATTGCTGCTGCCACTTTTCGCTGAGCAAACAAAATGTTGCCAGAGAAATAAAGCAAAAAAAAAAAAAAACAGCCAACAATAAACAAGCCAGATCACATTCAAATGAAGGCCTGCTGCAAATGAAGATTTAGCTGAACAATTAGGCTTTGTGAACTGGGATACTCAATTGCAATAATAACAAGCTGACAAGCAATGTTTAACGCGCAAGGACCCAGCCTTGAAATCCTTAATTGTCATATATATATATACGTATATGCAACAAAATTGATGTTTATTGTTTTCACAAACTGTCTCGCAGTCATTAAAAACACAAAACAAAACAAATAACAACATAAAATAAAAGCGCCAACAATGAACACAATTACAAGTCAAAGTCATCGAGTGAAGCAGCCAGCAGCCAGCAGCTACTCTAAATGTTTGTGTGGGTGCCGCTTGCCCCGTTGCATCCTAAACGAAACATTTATATAGCTGACAGACGCACTGACAAAATACTTGAACCTGACATTCAGAAAATATTGCGCACACTTCATGCACACACACACACACAAACACACAGATACAACACACACAGATACAACACACACAGATACACTCGCTTGCATTAAGTGTGAGCACTCCAAGTCCAAGTCGATGCCAAATCGATGCCGATGGTCGCCAATTGAAATAAATAAGAATGCTGCAACAGAATAAACTTAACTAAAAGATACTTTTTTTTTTGAGATACCTTTAAAATGCATGAAAAATTTGTATCCGTTTTTGAATAGATTTCAAAAATTACAGAGATGTTTTCATTTTAAAATAAAGTTAATAAAAATCACATATTTTTATTTATTTCTTTAAATAATTATAGCAAGTTGCCTGTTCAAACTCTGTCTCTACCTATCTCTCACTCCCAATCTCCCTCTCTCTCTCTCTCTCTCTCTCTCTTTACATGCTTATCTCATAATTCCTTCCTTTAAAAGCTAAAAGTATCTGCAGCAATTATGTATTAATATAGGGTATTCGACTGCATATGATATGCAAAATGACTATTTGAGTATTTGATGCGTTTTAAATTGAAGTCAATTTTTGTGAAAAATTTGCATTTTATGTGAGAACAGAAATTCGCATAAATATAAAAAAATATTCGCACATAAACATGCATAGCCGAATGGCAATCAATAAAACGGCTACTGTCAATTGAATTATTGATTTCGGAATTGAAGCGGAGAAAAAAATCATGTGGCCCAGTTGTCAAGCGGAATTCGAAATGAATAATAATTAAATGTGCTTAGTGTGTTTACCCATTGCATGACACTTAAGATAACACAAACATTGACACTTATCTAGGCATTAGCATTACGGATTTCATCTGGTTTTTTCATTTTTTTGAAATAATCAGTTTTGCATATATTTAGAAATTCAGAAAGCTCAATTGTCACATAATTTGGGTCCTTTGCCGATGCAGGATGCGTAGGCCATCAGATGGGGAATCGTGCTCTGTTGCATAACACCAGAGAATAGATGACTCTGTGGTCCAGTGGCAAAGATGCCAACATCATCGCCAGAATGTACGCCAATCGTTCCAGTGATATAACTTGGGTAGATGAATGCTAATTAAACAAAAAAGAAACAATGAATGAATTATAGATAAAATGTTTTTTTTTAGAAGCATAAGTCTTTCATATACTTACAGGGATCATCGATTTTGTCTTCCAGATTCTCGCGCTTGCCATTCTCGTCCAGATACGGGTTGGTGCCAACTGCATAGTTCAAGGTGGCATATTTGACACCATTGACATCGGTGTCGTGGTTATTGAGGCCCAAAATATTGGTACCGCGACCCGGATAGCCAGAAATGGATAGGGGATGTGCATGATCGGAGGTGACCACAATCAGAGTCTCATCGGAATTGGTCATTCCGACTGCGGCCTCAACAGCCTTGGATAGCTCATGCACCTCATCGAGTCCCATTTGGGGTACATTGAAGTGATTGCCATAATCGATAAGGCCACCCTCGATAAACAGGAAATAGCCCTCGTCTTTCTGGCTAACCACCTCAATGGCCTTCTTGGTCAACTCCTCCAAAGTGGGCTTCGTGGCGGCATCGGCCATTTTATGGAAGTCCATCACACCAGAGTTGAAGAGACCAATCAATCTTGGTATACGCTTGGCATCTACACTCAGCAGCTGGGCACGATTGTAGGCTAGAGCTCCCTCCGGATGCAAGGATTGCCATTTGGAGAGCAGATTCACACCATCCGAACGCTCGCCCGGATTTCCAAACATATCATTAACGGATTTGGGCAAAAACTTGCCCATTCCGCCGCCGAGCATCACATCAAAATTCTTGCCCGGCGCCTGGGTAATCAGTTGTGTGGCAATATCCATACAGGTAGCCGGATCATTCTGACCCTCGCCATAGGTGACAATATCCGTGTCGCTCTCAAAGAACCGATTTGTGGCGTGTGCATACGCACCCGATGGACTGGCATGGGTCAAAGTAGTCGTTGTCACAATGCCCGTGGCCTTGCCCGCCGCCTGCGCCCAGGTGGCAATGGAGCTGACCTGATTGGCGGGATCCATGCTGCCGCTGCAGTTGTTAAAGTTCACATTGGCAGTGACACCCAACGCAACAATATTGGTCTTAACGCCACACAAATACGCCGTGGCTGTACACGCTGAATCCGGCACTTGGGCATTGCTGCAATAAGTCTGTTGAAATGGAATTGATTTATTCTATTAGGTAAACATTTGCGAGGTAAAACGTTAAAGAGAATTGAGAATTTACTGGCCAAAATGTATTTGGCTTGATGTCCGAAGAAGACATAACGATTAGAAGATTATGTAGACTATTGCGAAGGCCTACTTAAGCCATAAGTATAATTTGTAGACAAGCTCACCTTGCTCAGACCCGTGTAGGGGAATTTCTCGAAGCTCAGCTCATCCTCCTCGCCCGTGTTGCCCTTGAGTTGGCCCTTCAGTATTCTGGCAGCTGCCACTGTTGTCAGTGACATACCATCTCCCAGGAACATTATCACATTCTTCGCCTTCCGCTTATCGACCTGGGGCTGAGCCAAACGCTTGGCTATCTCCTCGTTGGCCAAGTTATACCAGAACTGTGCATCCTTCTCCTTGGGTGGCGTATACTTATTCTTGGCCATTGCATTGGGATCCAAGAGGTTAATTCTGGCTCCTGCCGCATTTGAGATGCCAACCAGCTGGTTCTGGTCATGAATTTCTTTCACTGCAAGCAGTTGATGCAAGTCATCACCAGTGAGCAGACTAAGACCTCAAAACTAGGTTTACTTACTGTCGAAGGCTGCCGACCATGTTGTGGCAATGAGTGCGCTAAGCAGCACCAGACTTAAGTACAGTTTCGTCATTTTCAGTGAGTTTTGTCCCGTTGACTTGATGGCCGACTGTCATTTTCTCGGTGTAGTTCAACGTATTTATACTTTGTATTAAATGCGTTGACTGGTGTCTAATCTAAATTGCTAGATTACCATCATTTAGCCAGCATCATTTCGTTTATCTCATAAACCTACTGGCTTTTCGGCACATGTCACTTTATTATCACTTACTTTCAAGCTGATATGACTTAGGTATTCTTATATTTGACCAATGAATGCCAAAATTGGCAGACATATGTTGAACGCCGTGATAAGATAAGATCAATGTATGTATAGACCTTTCATAAAATGTACAAACGATTAAAAGCATGTGAGGATAATCCAAATGAGATAATAAAGTCCCAAAATAATAATTGAGGTAGAAGAAGAATCTCCAGAGCACCTCTTCTGTTCATGGCCGACACGTGCTGCGAAAATATTTAGCCAATTAGGACTTAGCCAATTTAGAACTCATGTGAATTTTGGATATTTAGCAATGCATCCGGTTGAACTCATCACTGATATTGTAATTCCACTCAGTGTCAGGAAAATAAACTGCAATCCGAATACGATAATACAACGGGAAATTCTGAGCTTGGTGAGTCGATTTTATTGTCCGACAACACTCTAAACTAACCCAAGCTAAGCTGAAATACAAGTGTAAAATTCATTAAGTTCCTTACTCGAAAAATAATAGCATGCTCTTGGGCAGAATTTTTAATTTTTAAATTTAAAAATCGCTGTTGGCGCCATGCATCGATAATTTACTTTAAGTCGATAGCTCTTCGACATATTTAGCATCCCGGTAGGAAATACAAGTACATTTTTTAACAAATATGTTAAGTCAGCTGAGGTGAGTTACCAGATAATTGAAATGTGACCATATCTAAAAAGAAAACAATCTTTTTTTTAAAGAACCTTTATTTGTATAATTTCATACAAATTCGCCTATATTAATTGGTTGCAAACGACCGATTTAATGATGGATGTTAATAACATTTTAACGACATGTTAAGTTAACAGACGAACGAACAGTGTCGATGACAAATTAATAAGAGGAAGAGACACTTTTCATTTACGAAACACATAAAGCAGGAAAAGTAAATCGTAAATATGTCGTTCGTTTTGAACAACGCAATTCGTCGTCAAATTGGCACAACTGCCGCCAGGAATATGTCCGGCACCGCCGCCGTGGCTGGAGAACATTCAGGTAACTTTACCCACAGCCGATAATATCCTCATAGTTAGGTTAAGGTTATGTAATTGTGGTTTTCTGTTGAAAACCGCTTAAGGACAAAAGTTATAATTGGAGAACTTTTGCAGGTGGCTACAAGGTCTGGAAGCGTCTGTCGTTCTTCGTCGCCGTGCCAGCTGTCGGTCTGTGCATGCTAAATGCATACCTGAAGCATCAGGAGGAGCACGGCCATCCTCGCCAGGAGTTCGTCAAGTATGAGTATCTGCGCCGTCGCGAGAAGCGTTTCCCCTGGGGTGAGGGCAACAAGAGCCTGTTCCACAACCCCCACGTCAACCCCCTGCCCGATGGCTACGAGCACTAAGCGGCCAATCCCCCATTCGTTGTAAAGGTGTTGCTGTTGTTGCTTATCCACTCGATGTATTTAACAAATTGTAGGCTGAAATTAATGCGAAAATACACACAAACAAAGAAAAACAAGCATTATGCAGATTTAAACTAAATAAAGAGCGATGAAACATTCTACTAATCGATGGGTAAGATTCCACAGAGCTGGTAGCCTAAAATTGCATATAGACAATCAAATAAGTACATTTTAAGTGCATATATTTATTAGCAAAATAATTATAGTTTTATGTTAATAATGGTCAGATTCAAGTGTCGATGAAGCGGCTTCAGAACGTCAGATGAGGTGCCTCAGCTCAGCAATGTCATCTTGGTTACAATTTCCATTTTATTTTGGGGTTTTAGACTTGGAGCTGGAAACCTTTACATTACGATGCTTGCTGGGCTGCCGACTCTGCTCCACAACAATCTTCTTAGTAGATCTTTTTGCAGAATCGTTGGGCTTCAAGGCTCTCTCCTTGCTGTCGTGGCGACGCGTCTGCCGCTTGCTTTCGGGTGAAACGGACGAGGCAGCGGGGAATTTGTGGACGCCTCGTGCTCTTTTTCGATTATCTGGCAAAATCTCCTGTGTCGGTTTAATTATCTTGGATCGGGACTCTCGTTTGGTCTTGTCATCTTGTGTCTGAGTAGTCTTTGCAATCGGATTCAGTTTGCGTATTTTTGTAGGAGTGGGAGACGGTGACGGCGATGGCGACATTTCAGCCAACAATTCCTCCATCAATTCGGACTCCTCCTCAACCTCCTCTTCTTTGTTGACGCCCTGCTCGTATTCGCTTTCATTCTGATACGGCACCATATCGACCACATGATCATCCTCGATGTGCTTCTGCAATTGGGCGGAGCTCAGGAAGATGAAATCACAGAACTCGCAGGCATGTCGCTCGCTCTCCTTGTGAGCCTGCATGTGCGTCTCCAGGCTATCCGCGTCAGCAATGGTCGCCTTGCACAGCGGACAAATCAGCGAGACACTCGCGTGTATCGAGGAATGATCCACCAGGCTGTCATAAGACTGATGCGTATCCTTGCAGATGCTGCAGGTGAACGAAGCAGCCGCTGCCTGTTTGTGCATGCGCACATGCCGCGACAGATGATGCGACAACAGATACGATTTGGAACAGTATTTGCATGGATAGACACGCTTCCCAGCATGGGCAACCAGATGGCGTGCCAATTTGCTAGCGGTCACAAAGCTGCGACTGCAGTACTGACACGAAAACGGCAGATTGGTACTGTGGATAACCTATGTATAAATGGAAAGAGTGGCAATTAGATAATAATGATGATAAGCACATATCGTTGAGGACTCACCTCGTGCCGCTCCAGGCCCTGCTTGAAGGCAAACGCCTTTTGGCAGACGCCGCATTGGAAGGGTCTCTTTTTGGTGTGGCGCTCCGCATGCTTCTCCATCTCCTCGCGCGAAATGAACTGCTTCTCGCAGTACAGGCAAATGAACTTGGGCACATCCGTGTGGATGCGTTCGTGCCGATGCAGCAGCGCCCGGCGGGTGAAGGTCTTCTCACAGACGCTGCACTTGTACGGACGCTCGCCGGTGTGGATAATATTGTGCTTCTGCAGATCGTACTTGGAGAAAAAGGCCTTCTCGCACTCCTGGCACTGAAAACTGCGCGTTCGTGTGTGGTTCACCATGTGTATGTCGAGCAACTGCATCAATGGAAAAGAGCGATCGCAATCTGGACACGAGAAGACATTTGTCGCAACCGGTGCAGCATTTTTAATTGGATCCGAGGACGCATCGATGTCATCGGTTTGGAGTATTTCAGTAACGAGCGCCACATTGCCATCCTCGTAGTGCTTGATCTGGGGTTTGGCCAACCGTGGCTCCACGGACGTAGTGGCACCCTTGTTGAGTAGTCGCATCGACGATTTGTTGAGAACTTTGGGTTTGCCTGACGAAATTGTCGTTGTTGGCACCGTTGAAATATCCGCAGTTTCTTCCAATTCGCTAGACATGTCCGCTAACAGATTGTGCACATCATCCATGGACAGCTCCTCATTGTTCTCCACCTTAATCTGATACGATGACTTCGATTGTGATCGCTTCTGGGGAGATCCACGTGGCGGAATTGGTGGCTCTGCCGTGCTCACTGCTGCCGAATTGAGTAGCTTCTTGGTGAGGAGGTTAGTTTCCAGCACCTGCACACTCTCGATCTGCACATTGTTGCTCTTTGCCAACGAGTTGAGCAGTTTCTTTGGCTGTGCCTCGGGCTCCTTGTAGACAGCTATCTGTTGTGGTTTGGATACCAACGGTGCCCGAGGCTTTTCCAATGGATTTGGCCATTTGCCGGTGAGCGGATATTGACGCAGCAACGTCTCCGCATTTTTGCACATCTGCTTGAACCGGTAGCAGTGCTCGAAGAGCAGCCGACAATCCAAACAAATAAAACTGGGCAGTCCATCATTGCTTTGCACCTGTAAATTCCAAATAACAATAACAACAGTAAATATATATATATTTTTAACGTTTATGTGTGAATGCTATAAACTCAGATGGCAGAACTGCGCATGCGTTCTGTTATAATCACAGTGTGGCAACGCTATGTGCATTCATTTGGCGGCAAGCGGTGCACAACTAGAAATATAATCGGGCAGTTTGTTTTCGTGAGCGTCGCTGCATACTCCACTCCGATTCTTGTTGTTCACTTGGTTGTTTGTAATCAGTTGATTAGGCACGGTTAACCATAAAAGGACGCTCTAGCCGCATTTGGGCAAATGCAATTTGCTGCTTGTGCTGATGTGACTAAGAAAAACAGCTGAGCGGATAGTACAGCAAATTAGTTTAGTCAAAATACGCGCAAAAACACAATAGAGAAATTGAGGAAAGGGCGCAACAATTGCAGGCAGCGGGCAGTGAAACGAACAAAAGGCAGTCAGTCGGCAACAAGGAGAAACGCAAACAGAAACAAGAAAGAACAAGCAAAATGACGGACGAATGCATAATAAGAACCTTTAGCGCTGTCGGCAACGGCGGCGGCCACAACAACAATGCCGATACCATCGATGCAAAGGGAGAATCCAGCGTTGGCTCAACAGCAGCAGAAGAAGGGGGTGGTGCAGCCGTCGTCGCGATGTAAGTGCAAATAGCTACCAATCGCACTCTTCTCTCCTTATTTTTATCAACACTTTTTTGTTTTTGCGCGTTTGCCGATAATGCGGTATTCTTATGCCGCAACAATTAAAAGGGATTCACGTAATCCTAATATTTTATAAATTGTATTATATGTTGATATGTTGTTTCGATTATAAAAATATTAATGCTTAAGAGTTCGTTCTACACATTTTCCGAAAGATATTTCATAAGCTGCATATACGCATTAATTGAAAAGAAAGTTTTTCTAAGAAAATTGTTATCAACCTTTCTAATCAAACTTATATAAACTTAATTCATTTGTTAATAAGTCATAGTTAGACTAATTATTAATCATCAGTCACCTTATCATCATTTACTGCACTTCTTTTTGTCTTATCGATTAATATCATTTTGATTATTAGGAACGTTAATAAATATGTAGCTCGTATGCCCACGGAGCGTAACGCCAGGGAATATAATATGAATCACAAGAAGCGCGGAATAGCAGTGATCTTCAATCACAAATCGTTCGATATACCATCGCTGTCGGTGCGCAACGGAACGAATTTGGACTGTGAGGAGCTGCGCAAGGCTTTCGAGAATTTGGAATTTGAAGTGTCGGTGCATAATGATTGCAAATTCCGCGATATACTCAAGCATACGGAAAAGGCGTCGGAGATGGATCACAGCGACAACGATTGCATTGCAATTGCGATCTTATCGCATGGCGAACACGGCTACCTCTATGCCAGGGATGTGCAGTACAAACTGGACAACATTTGGCACTATTTCACAGCGCAAATATGTCCATCGCTCGCCGGCAAACCCAAATTGTTCTTCATACAAGCGTGTCAGGGCGATCGATTCGACGGCGGCATAATACTGGAAAAGTGCGTCACTGAAACGGATGGCGCATCCTCGATGAGCTACAGAATACCCGTACACGCCGACTTTCTATTCTCATATTCAACAATTCCAGGTGGGTATCATATTTTATATAAATATGCATAAAAAACTTTTGTCTATAACTCGATCGTATTTCAGGTCACTATTCGTGGCGCAACCCTGAACAGGGCTCGTGGTATATACAATCGCTCATCAAAGAACTGAATGCCAATGGCAAAAAGGATAATATTCTAGACTTGCTCACATTTGTCAGTCAGCGTGTTGCCATCGATTTTGAGTCGAACGTGCCAATGCGGCCAATTCAAGATCGCCAAAAGCAAATTCCGTGTCTGACGTCAATGCTAACACGTATTCTGCGCTTTAACGACAAACTACCAACGAAAAATTAGACCCTTAGAAGCTTTTTGCTACACCAAGATCACCTAACTTGCCTCCCACCTGGATTCTTTCCTGGATTAGTTTTTAAGTTTACCAATTAGTGCAAAACTGACATCGCCATTTGTTTTGGGTGACGACAGGACCCAAGATTCACCATTCACCTCTTCCATTGCCATTTGTCTTATATATAATACATACACCAATATATTTGTACATTAATAATCGACAAGCATATGCATAGATAAGATAAATCGTGAACAACACATATATATAAACAATAATAAATATATATATATTTGATATATACACACATAAATAAACGAAAATGAAGTGCAAATTGAAAAGAAATTGTGGAACATTCTAAATTTAACTGGCAACGGAGTCATCCGCATGCGATCTGGCAGCATTGCACCACTCTTTGTTTGTGTTTGTGTGCATTTCTTTGTACAGTTGTCGCCATATTGATAAATTATTTTTTTTCATTCGTGCAATTTTTGATAGCATTTAATGCGTTTGTTTGTATCTATGGCAGATCCTGTTGGAACGATTAGGCTGGTGGAAGTTAGGCGCGAAAAAGCGCGCCAAAACTGTTAGCGAAGACGCCAACGCTGCTATTCAGAAACCAACCAGCAATGACAAATATCTTAGCCAAGTTCATTATTCACGCTCATCTTTGTTGTAAATAGTTGTTATGACTTAGTTTAACTTAGAACCAAGCATCGACTTACCTCTATCGATGTTATGGCCATTATCTGCAGCGGCAGCGATGCCGTTGATTTAATGCGTGAGATTTCCGTGTAAATTGAGGCAAGTTTGCTGTGCTGCACCAAACAGAAGCGACAGATTTCCTTTTTGCGCAATTCAGATTCGCGCACAACGCCAATGTCGGCCATTATGTTGATTTTGATTGTTTGATTGATTTTGTAGCGAATAACTCAAGACTAACGCGCCCAACGCTACAATTTTGCGTTTGACAAACTGACAAGAAGACAGTAATCAGAAATGCTTTGCGTCAATACACGAACCTCGCACAGAGATGCCACACTTTAGCAAAGGGTCATTGGCGTTGCCAGAATGCATAAGCATAAGTGCATAAATGTACTAAATATGGTATACAAATTTGAATAGATAACCAGCAAACATATTGCAAGTAAATATAATTTAATTTTAAAATAGCTATAGGGCGACTCGTATTTATATATACCTATATCTGATGTGTATCATAGCGAACGACTCTCTGCAGTTTTTTTCTTGCCTAGACTGTTAATTACCCAATGTTTGATAATTTATTTAGCCGAAGTTCTACAAAAACAAATCAGAATGCAGTTTTATGTGTAAAAAACGTAACAATCATTAAAAACCGCCCTAAATGCATCGGCGCAGGTAGAAAACATTTCAATTCAGGTAGACGCATTGCACCTACTTACACATACATACATATATAAACTGTGCTGACTGTGACTAGTATTTATTGTTCTCAGTCAGAGGAGCAAAGCACTGACCTTTCTGCAGACCATTTTGCTCAGATAGCTATAATTTTTCCATTTAGTATTATGATTGAACTGTCGTAGTAGGAACAAGAGTATTTGGGAATATATTTTATTTTATTATGTATGCATTTGCATCAGTCCAGTAGATCGACATCTCTGAGCCGGGCTTGCGTCTGCTCGCCAATGTCAAAGATCACATGCTGTTGCAGCAGTTCACGTGGCTCATATTTAAGCGACTCCTCGTAGGCATATTGTATACTCGTATCGAAGAGCATCAGTTTGCACTTGGCCAGTGCGAGGATGCAGTTGCGCAGGCGTGCAATAATCTCACGTTCGTTGCGTGGCACAACCTCGCTCAGATTCTGTGCGAAGCCACCTTCGCCGCCCTCCTGCTCATCGCTCTTTGTGGGCGAGATCCAGATATAGCCATTGTTGCCCAGGATAACGGACGCACCGCACGCCAGATTGTGAAAATGCATCTTGCGGCGTTTGACTAGCGCCGGAAAGACCTTAACCAGTATGCCCTGCGACAGTTTGCCATACTTTAAACTGCGGGTGTACAGCGACAATGTGCTCTCTTCAAAGACGTTCTGCAAAAAGAAGTGAATATCTATCAATGACCAGTTGGAACTTAAGCAATTACTGCTGCGTACCTGTACTTCGGCGGAGATCAGATCTCCTTCGTCCAGATAGCGTCTCATCATTTGTTCATCCTCCGCGGAGCGTCGTCTCAGCTCACCGCCTGGCAGATTAACGGATGAGAGGAGCAGCACTGAATCCAGACGCGAATTTGTGTCAACTCGCCAGCGTTTCTGTCCCACTTCCAGGACACGTGCCACGACCACATCGCCGATCTCGCCAACATATCGACTCTTGAGTGGTCGCACCGATATCAGTTTATTCACCTTCTGTATCACGCCGGCCACCGACGCTTTTATGTCCTCATCCTCCACAAAGGTGCCGTGACCCCGCATGAAGCCCGCTTCCGGCATTAGCACCTCGCCTGGTGTATAAATGCGCGGCAGCTGCTCCTGATTCTCAGCGAGGGCATTCCAGTCAACGCGATCTATCGCCAGATCCATCATCACATTTGTTGTCATCTTTCCCAGAGCGGTAAATCTTCCTCTTCGGCTCCAATGTGTTCGCTCTTCTTCTTCTTCTGCTCCCAATGTGTGCTCTTTTTCTCACTGTTAGTTAACATTATACGGAATGTTATTAACAGCTAGCCAGAAATAATAATCGTTTCTCGTTTGTTTTATTTTTGTATTTGGTTTGCAGAACATAGTTGCGGTATGGTATTTCAATGCAATTGGCACAAATTTATTATTTGTTATTCCTTAAATCGCGTGATAAAATTTTAAATCAACTGGCGCCAAAACATATATGAGCCATAACAGAAACAGCTGTTCAGCTGCTAAATAACTTTATTCGCATATCGATAGGTTGATATCGATAGTTGGTGCAATTCGTGCAGCTGTTTACCGATTAGTTTGTCATCCAGCAGCTGCTTGGGTATAAAAAAATATACGCAATGGATCAGCCAGACGATCATTTTCGTTATATACATAGCTCTTCGCTGCACGAACGTGTTCAAATCAAAGTGTAAGTGGGTGCTCTTTGCAAAAGAATTATACTAAATGTTGTTTTGCTTGCAGCGGCACACTTGAAGGCAAAAAACGCCAGCCAGATTATGAGAAACTGCTCGACGATCCAATATTGCGTTTTTCAGGCCTCTATTCGGAGGAGTATCCATCCTTTCAGGTGCGTCTGCAGGTCTACAACGATGGACGACCCTATTGCCTGCCCGTTCACAATTCATACAAGGCCTTTGGCAAACGCTGGAGCTGGAACGAGTGGGTGACATTGCCATTGCTCTTTTCCGATTTGCCACGGGGCGCAATGCTGGTGCTAACCATCTTGGACTGCTCCGGTGCTGGCCAAACAACGGTCATTGGCGGCACTGCAATCTCAATGTTTGGCAAAGATGGCATGTTCCGTCAAGGCATGTACGACTTGCGCGTCTGGCTGGGCGTTGAGGGCGATGGTAGTTATCCGAGCAAAACCCCAGGCAAAGGCAAAGAGTCCTCAAAATCGCAGATGCAGCGCCTCGGAAAATTGGCCAAAAAGCATCGCAATGGTCAGGTGCAAAAGGTGGACTGGCTGGATCGTTTGACATTCCGTGAAATCGAGGTGATTAATGAGCGTGAGAAACGGATGTCGGATTACATGTTTCTCATGATTGAGTTTCCCACCATCATCGTTGATGATATGTATAACGTGAGTACTCCAACGGAGCGAGTTATTTTGGAGCTGATTTGATAACACTTTCCCACATTCTACAGTATTCAGTTGTGTATTTTGAGCCAGAAGTGGATAACAAGTATAAATTGCCACCCAAACCCAAGCTGGTGCTAGTCCCCGACTCGGAGATTCAAATGGTGAGTCTACCTCAAGGCGAACATCAAAATATGGCATATTTATGTGTTGAACTTGCAGGAAAATCTTGTGGAGCGCAAACATCATCGCTTGGCACGTTCGGAACGCTCGGGCATCTCAGATCGGGACGCCAAACCAACGGCCATGTATGTATTAGCTTGGGAAAGCAAAAATTTAATTTAATTAAAGCCAATTATGATCTTCACAGCATACGGGATCAATTGAACAAGATTGTGTGCTATCCGCCCACCTATGTGCTAAGCAGCGAGGAGCAGGATTTGGTTTGGAAGTTCCGTTTCTATTTGTCATCGCATAAGAAGGCGCTGACCAAGTTCCTGAAGTGCATCAATTGGAAACTCAATGATGAGGTCACCCAGGCACTGTGGATGCTCGCCAATTGGGCGCCCATGGACGTGGAGGATGCACTGGAGTTACTTAGTCCAACATTTACGCATCCGGAGGTGCGCAAGTATGCGATAAGTCGTCTGGCCCAAGCACCCGACGAGGATCTGCTGCTCTATCTGCTCCAATTGGTGCAGGCGCTCAAGTACGAGGATCTCCGTAATATAATCCAGTTGCATAACATTATTGTGCCGGAACCGGAACGAGATGTGGTCCGCTCGCTGCTCGATGAGAATGACTCGCTGCTGGACCAAAGCAGCATATCCGATTTGAGCGCGACGAGCAGCACTCTACACGCCTCCGTTATACCTGCCAATCAACGAGCTGCCCTCGCGGCCAACAAGGTCGACAAATCCGCTATGGGCAGCAGTGTGAGCAGTGTGCCAGCAATTCGGGCCAGTCCGCCGTCAGCCCGAATGGATCGCACTGATGTGGGCGATGTGGCCAGCGCCGCTTCGCTGACCTCCCAATCGAATTCGATAACACCGCTGCTGGGCCAAGGTGTCGCCCTCAATCTGTGCACATTCCTCATACAGCGCGCCTGTAAGAATGCAACGCTGGCCAACTATTTGTACTGGTACCTGTCCATCGAGGTGGAGGATGTGGAATCTGTGCGTAAACAGGATCAGCGTGCACACGACATGTACACCATGGTGCTCTACATATTCCTCAAGGTGCTCGACAACGGTACGTAAATTCAATTTATAAACTGTTTAGTTCTTTTACTGACATTATTCCCTTTGTCACAGGCAACTTTCATTTGCGAGGCATTTCACATAATCTGCGGAAGCAGCAGTGCTTTATTGATGAGCTGGTCAAGCTGGTCAAACTGGTGGCCAAGGAGCCGGGCAATCGCAACAAGAAAACGGAAAAGTTTCAGAAGCTACTCGCTGAACAGCTCATGTTCAAGGTAAACTTTACCAACTTTGAGCCAATACCATTCCCTCTAGATCCGGAGATCTATATTACCAAAATAATACCACCGCGCACGTCTCTCTTCAAGAGTGCCCTCATGCCGGCCAAGTAAGTGGGATGACCCCATAAGGGATACACCTTAGATACCCATTAATCAAATGCCTGCTCTTATTTCACAGACTGACTTTTGTCACCTCGATTGCAAAGCATGAATATGTGGCAATATTCAAGCATGGCGATGATCTGCGTCAGGATCAGCTTATACTGCAAATGATAACGCTAATGGACAAGCTGCTGCGTCGAGAGAATCTCGATCTCAAGCTGACACCGTACAAGGTGTTGGCCACCAGTTCGAAGCATGGCTTTCTGCAGTACATCGACTCGTGCACCGTTGCCGAGGTCCTTGCTCGCGAAACCAACATACTTAATTTCTTTAAGCGTCACAATCCATGCGAGAACGGTCCGTACGGCATTGCCGCCGAGGTCATGGATACGTACATCAAAAGCTGTGCCGGCTACTGCGTCATCACATATCTGCTGGGTAAGCTCGAATCGAAGAATAGACATCCCTTATTAACTACTTTCTCACTGTTCTTTTTGGGCACAGGTGTGGGTGATCGTCATTTGGACAATCTGCTGCTGACGACCAATGGCAAGTTGTTCCACATTGACTTTGGCTACATACTGGGACGCGATCCGAAACCCATGCCGCCACCGATGAAGCTGAGCAAGGAAATGGTCGAAGCAATGGGCGGCGTGAGTTCCGATCATTATCACGAGTTCCGCAAGCAATGCTATACGGCGTATTTGCATTTACGTCGTCATGCCAATGTCATGCTGAATCTGTTCTCGCTAATGGTGGATGCCACCGTGCCGGATATTGCGCTCGAGCCGGACAAGGCGGTCAAGAAGGTTGAGGAGAACCTACAGCTGGGCCTCTCCGACGAGGAGGCGGTTCGGCACTTGCAGAGCCTCCTAGATATATCCATAACAGCAGTGATGCCAGCCCTTGTCGAGCAGATACATCGCATCACGCAATATTGGCGCAAATAGATTTTAAGTATATATCTTTTAATGATACTCAGTTCCCCTTTTTGCCTGTCCGATCGTCTAGAGCAGGAATGTAGACTTGTGTATAACGAATCTATGTCCGTATCTATCACGGCTTTAGAATTGGATCTCCTGGCAGAGTATTGGCCAGTCGGTGGGTGCCCACTGCAGTGTTTTACATATTTTATTTGTTGTTAGCTGTAAGCATATATTTTAGTCCAATCGCAGTAGGTAAGCCTATCTAGCCACATCCTAGTGTATTATTATAAATATAAATACCTATATTAAGTGACTTCTTCGATTTCCATGCAAAATGCACAAGCGCTCCAAGAAACCCGTGTGGCTGCTCTTCAAGTTGCTGGAGACTATACTGAGTTCGATATGCTGCTATGTGCACATTAAATGCTTTGAATCGGACGGAGTTCCGGATATCTTTATACTCTGTGCCACCTATGGAAGCGGCTGTGTCATCGGCATCCTCGGTATTCTGTGTTCGTTTTTCACCTTGAAGCTCAACCTGACAACTGAGGCGATAACCAGCGGCGTGTTGGGTTCGCTGCATCTGTTTACAGTCTATGCACACATGTATCTGGCGGAGCATGACAAGCTGTTGGCCTTCTTCAAGGATCACGAGAAGGACTCGTATGGCTTTCTATGCTGTTGCCAAACAAATGCCACGTTGTCTCTATATGCGGTGGCCGTTTACTACTTGCATTGCAACTTTGCATTGGACATGCTACTGACCCATTCACCCACAAAGGCCGATATTGTCAAGCATCCACTTAAATTGTACTTTATAAGCAAGGGTGTCGAGCATTATCTTCGCCGCTTTCGCTGGTTTCAATATCTCTCTGTTGGCGTTGTAATGGGATCCACCAAGCGGCAGTCATTTTTCGGATAATATTATTCGCAGCGAGAGAAGTACGATTTTAACTGCACTTTTTGAATTTTGGCGCTTTCGATAACAATTATATATGCAAATCAGCTGTAGGAGATGACAGCCCTGTCTGAGTGCGCGCCTAAATTTACAGCTGTTTTGAAACCTTTAGCAATGCTGTTGTTATTGTAAATCTTTTTGACTTTGGTGTGTGCAAAATATTTAGCATTTGGTCAATTTATAGGGGTTTTTTTTTTGGTGTTGCAGAAACTTTAATTACAAGAAGACTAAATGGCGGCAAGCGGTGCGGTAAGTGTGTGGATGTCTCCGTTTTGTTCAAGTGCATTTTCCTAGAAATTTCAGTCTGCAAACTTTTCTGATTTTCATAGTTCAATTTCAATGCGCGCTGGTTTTGCTGTACGCCAACTTTTCGAGTTTGAAATGTGCGCTTGTAGAAATGTGTCTGTGCTTAGTTAGTGGCAGGTACTCGTTTCAAAAGTTTCTGCTAAAAGTTAGCCGGGGCTACTAAAGTTTCAGGCACAGCTGCAGAGACCGCAAATTTCGCATACCGCCCCCACACACACACATATGCGTGTGTGTGTATGTGCGTGGGTGTGTAACTGTTGTTCAACTCCAACTCCTGGCAACTAACAAATTTGACGAACTCACTCGCACTTTTATTGCAAAATCTGTCGTACTCTCTTATGTTACAGCGCCACTCTCTTAGCTATGTACGAAGAGCGACGATTGCATTGCAATGCATAGCGAGGCATGAGTCAGCCGCAGTTTGCCTTTTGTTATTGTTGTGTCGCCGCTTGGTATGCAATCAGACCGCATATTTGCGCTCCCCGCTCGCTCTCACTCTCTCTCTCTCTCGCTCTACAAATGAGTTCAGCCAGCCGGCTGTGCCTGCAGGCAACCGCTCTCCCTCCTCGCCCTTGCACTCCTTATTCAAGCAGCACGTGTTCATTTTCGTGCAAAAAAAATGTTATGGTCAAGTATGTGTGTGTGTGATTTTTGAGTTGCGTGTGCAATGATTTGGTATGATGTTAATGTGTGTGTGTTTGTTTGTTTGACAACAATTTATTGTTAGGTGTTGTGAACACTGGCCGTGTGGGCGTCCCAACTACTCTCACTATTGATAAGAACAGTGTTGCAGTCGTCAAACGATGTGATCAGAGTTGTAAAAAGTGCAAGTTGTGCATATTTATTGTGACGTCAGCAATGTGTGTGTATGTGTGTGTGTGTGTGATCAGCAATGCTGCAATCAATGTTTTAATTATGAAACGCTGCTCATTCTTATATATGTATGTCTGTATGTGTGTATGTATGTAATTGGAAGCCTAGCTTCTGACTTCCTATTTACTGTATTTGCTGCAACAAACATTTGATTCGCTAGGCATGCATCATTGTTTAATTTGCATTTACTACCCGAGAAATGACTCGTTTGATGACGTTGTAAACGAAACTCCCAAACCGAAGGTTCCCATAGACGTCAACCCAAAAAAACGACAATAACAAGAAAAACTAAAACAGTCGACTGCTCAGTGTACGTGCCGCTTATGCAGCTCCATAGATTGCATAAGGGATGTGGAGGGGGGACGGGAAGGTGGCTAATCAGTTTACGCTGACGTTGTTCTGCGCTTCTTGCATGCCCATTCTCAGAGTCATACACACGACGTTATACTCGTGTTCGATTGTCGGTACATATCCAACTAATTCTACTTACACACACACACACATGCACATGGTACGTATGTGTGTGTGTGTGTGTGCACTTTTTGTTTGTTTGTCATTTCATGAGCTGATACTAACACGGGTGCTACTATTTCAGTTGCTTACTAAATAGATAGTGGCAGAGCGGGCTGACTAAGCGATCGACCCAGCGAGCGACTGTCGCGCCATATTAACCGTACTGTGTCAGCTCTACTGTGTGCCGCTCACACACACACACACACACGCAGACACATACGTTTTTTGCATATGCTCCAATGCAAGTAGAGAAACCGCTAGGCGCTCCAATTGCTACTAATACCCTGTACTTTATTCACATGGGGTAGTCTAGTGTGATTGTGAAACATGTTAGCCATGAAAAACCACTTTTTCCTTTATTAGAATCGACTCTGAGATTATTAATTAAAAATATATATTAACAAATCGTACATCTTTGTTCTATAAAAATCATTAAACTAAAAAGTGCTTTAAATACTTATTGCAAAATTAAATGAAGGTATTAAAAGATTCGATTAATTATTCGCTTATTACTTAATACGCTTGTGTTGTGTCTGAAGTAGTGCAGGGTATATTTTCGTTGAGCCTTCACGCTTTCTTTCTTATACGAGTACATATGTTAGTATAGTGTGTGTGTGTGTGTGTGTGTGGCGCTGGCGTTCACAACGTGATAAAAACTTTAAACATTGAATTGTGATACTTCGTCACTTGGTTGTAAATTGAAATAAGACCCACATGCCGCCTTCGGCTGCAGCGCCCCTCCGTCCCTTGCTGCTGCTGCTGCTGCTGCTGCACCGGACTCCGTCGCTGTCTTCGATTGGCGTTGCAACAGTGGAGCGTGAAACGAGAACTAAATAAAGCACACAACAAACGAAAATAAAAACACAAAATTCTATTGCAATTGTCAGCAACTTTTCTTCAAATGAAAGAAGCACAAAATAAAAATATAAAAAAAAAAACAATCAAAAACAAAAACAGAAAAATAAGTTAAAATAAATAACAAGAAATAAAAGGAGGAGGAGGAGGTGAAGGAGGCGAGAATAGCAAAAGCCGCAGCTTGGCTTTTGTTTATATACACTTTGCTTAGCCAAGTTTTCGGTTGCTTTTGCTTTTGCACTTTTGTTGTTTTTGTTCTGCTTGTTTTTGTTGTGCTTGTTTTTGGTTTTGTTTTTGCTTTAAATATGCAAGTGAATATTTATTATTTATGTATGTATGCGAATTACTCGGTGCCCCGATGTGCTTCCTCGCTCTCTATTTAGCACTCGGTATCAGAATCTCCGTTTCGGTCTCTGTGCTTCTTGTCTCTCGGAGTCGCGGGTGTCCGGGAGTCGGGGCCAGCCAGTTGTGGTGCAGTCAGTGCAGTTTGGTCCGCCTCTGGTTAGGTTGGTTGTCCTAGCGCGCAATTTTCTTTTAGTCTTAGCCACTTGGTAGTCCGCACGTGTTTGTCTATATGCCGTTCATATTTGTTGTGTTCTTGTGCCGTATTCTGTTATCTGTGACGCGTTCGACACTTGCAACGTTTCTATTTGCTTTGGACACAGTGAATGCATCTTTCTGCCATACTCCCGAATGATTTAATTCAAATTCAATTAGCAGCAACTTATTGTGGAGCGAACTAATTGCAGATTTACACGGTGAGTTCGTTATTATGCTATTAATAATTATATTATGATTAAGTGAAATTTGCGTTCTTAAAGTTCCATCTAGATTCCATCAAATTCCATTTAAATCACCAGTTTTATATAATGACAAGTAGTCAAATTTCTTGAGTCAAGTTCGTGTCGTTTGTGTTTTAAAAATTCACACTCTTTTTTAAATACTATCAATTCCAAGTAGTCTAAACATTTCCAAGATTTTTAAGTACAATTTTGTAGATTTCTCTAGAATTTATTTGCATATCTGTACTCTTAAAAGTATGCTATGTGCTAATCGGCGATATTAACCTTAAGTTTGCATTGAAATGAATTTATTTATAGATATTATTCGTATCACAATTATACCAGTTAATATACTTCTTCAGCACTTCACGTCTGGCCAAAGAGAAAGACTAAACTTGAAATATAAATATTCACTAGAATCAGATGTTAGTTTTATATAAATCATTTTGTTCGATTTTGGTGGCTGGCAAATGTGAGAACTTAGTTCTAAGGAAATGGTTTTATAATGACAATATTACCGTTAAGTCAGCGTCAGCGTCAGCGTTTTATGGATCTTTTGAGTCAGACGTTGCCCTCAAACATGGTAGTCACTGTTGTATTTGGCCACATTATCTGATAAGCCCGGCCAAAGCGAGCGAGGCACATGGAGCTCATCGTGGGGGTTTGTTGACCCGTCCCGTCGTTGATAAAGATTTTTGCAAGACGCGTTCGAAGCGGCAACAACTTACGCGCAGATCATGTCAATATAACAACATTTTATGGCCCCGCAACAGCAACTATTTAAATTGTGGTGGGGTGGTGCTGGAGGGTTGTAGAGGGGCAGAAAGGGGTTATCTCATAAGTAAAACGCACACGTAGCCAAAATAAAAATGGTAGCACAACTTAAACTATGCCGCATAATACTTAAAACCCGTAGCTGGAGCTACAGCTTGAGCTGGAGCTGGAGCTGGTGCTGGTGCTGAAGCCGGACCCGTAATCGTGTCTTGTTCTTTCTTCTGTTGTTTGTTGTCGCTGTTTTTTTTTTACAATTGCCGGTTGCCATGTTGCCAAGGCCAACGTAACCATCAGGTTAATTAACCCGCCATTGTTAATCCTCTAGCCAGCATATCAGCTAATAACCAACTATCCAACTGGTTCGCTATTGTCACAATCGTTTTTTGCCCATAATGAATTCAATTATTGTCACTTGAGTGCGTTAAGTATGCGCAAGTTGTGGCCGCCTCAGGTATTTCTCTAGTGCCAATGTGTGTGCGAATGAGTCCCAAGGCGCCCAGCTAAAATAGAATGACTTGTAGAATGTACAGAAATTCACATGCAAAAGCATGGCTTTCAGAATTCCAGTGCAAGAAATACACATTAAATCTCGTAAACCACGCGCACATCAAGTTTATTTTATTTGATCGATAACTAGCTCCGTTTTGCGAATATCGATATAAATCGATGTCATTAAAAGCTCTGATTTTGGCATATTATTGAACAATTGTAATGAAATCATCAAGCTTGGATAAGAAACACCCAAATTTATAGTCCAAAGCATATTCTCATAGGGAAATGCTCTGCCTTTCCCTGCTTTCCATTATATGTAAGAGTACTGCCACACCTGCTTACATATATGTGAAAGTACTTCCACACCTGCTTACATATATGTGAGTCCTTCCACACCTGCTTACATTCGAATGTGTAAAGCTTTTTAGATGCAAATTTGGCAATACAACTAAAATTATAGGTTTGTAGGGTATCTCGTAGTCGAACTCACTCACCTATAGCATTCCTACTTGTGC